CGCCCGAAGCTTTCCCCCCCCGCCCCCCCCCGGTTTGCCTGCCCAGGAGGGTCGCCGCCTTCGGGATTCCCTCTGCAGAAAGAACACCAGGAGCCGCGGAAGGACCAGCTGAGATGCTTTATTGAGAAAGCAGAGCTCCCGTTTCCCCCCCACCCCCCATCAGCTCTCCATCTTCTCCTCTTCCTCGGCGCTGGGCTTTGGCGGTGGCGGTGGCTCCTCCGACGGGCTCGACGGGCTGGCTTCTGCTGCTTGGCCGTCCTTGGCCGGCTCCTCTGGGGAGGGGGTGGGCTGGGCCCTGGCAGGGGGCTTGCCAGAGGACCCCTCGTCTGAGCTGCTGCTGCTGGCCCCCCCTTCCTTGCTGAGCAGTTCCTGTGGAAAGGCCAGGCAACACCCTTCAGTCAAAATCAGACATGAGAGAACAACTGGAGTGTTTCAGACAAACATGTTTCCAACTGAGTAGGAAGCCGAGGGGGTAACCTGGCCTTTAGCTGGGAAATGTTGCAACGACTGTGCCCAGCATTGGAGTCAAATGGGTGATTTTTTCATTGTGGACAGCAAGAGCCCCCCAACCCCAAGTGTTCAAAAAGTGGGGTACCTTGTTGGGCCAGGGTCCCTCTAAGCTGGAATCCAGCAGGGAGCTGTCGCCCCCAAAACTCTCCTCCTCCTCCTGCATGCTGATGAAGATGGTGGGGGTCTCGGCCTCGGGCACCTCTTCTGGCAAGTCCACCAATTCCTCAGCAGGAAGAGGGGTTGGTGGGCCAGCAGGACGAGCCTGCTGCTGCTGCTGCTTCAGCTTTTGCTCCTCTTCCAGCTGCCGCTTAAGGGCCTTCTCCTGGGCCAGGCGCAAGGCAATCATATCCTGAGACACCCGAGGCAGGAGAGGCTGCGGCTCTGCTTCTTCCTGTGGGTCAAACAGATTTGGTTCAGAATCTGCTAAAGAAACCAAAGTTCTTCCCTCCTTCAAGAATCCAGCTAGACTAGGTACAGGCCTGACATATTCAGGTGGTTTACCCCCCAGCGGCATCTATCTCCATTTGTGAGGCTGAGCATGTCCCACGTTTGGCCATCACTTCTTTCTAGTATGATCGCTGCTTTCATTTGAAAAGGATTCCAAAATGTATAGGTTTAGCAACAGTAAACAAAAAGGTGCATCAACTGCAGATTGACAATTCCGTGGGAATCTACTCTGCCCCAAAATAAACGGAATCAAATGTACTGTATAAAAGTGGAGATGTGCAAAGAAAGGTTCAGGAGCAAGGGTCAGCTGGCAAGAAAGACAAGGCTTAGATGACAAGAAAATATATAGAACAGAAACTGGATTCCAATTGTAAGAAATCCTTTTCTAATCTTGTTATGATAATTCTTTAGCCGAGGCTGCTCACAGATAGTCCTTAAAAAGTCCAGAAAGCTAGGAATTGCCCTTCTCTTTTTAGACTTTTTAGTCTTCTGCCAAAGTTGGCTTCCATGCCAAAACTGCAATGGAAAACACCAGATTTTCCTCTCTCTGGCTGGACCCTCTAAGAAAGGGAAAAGCCAGTATTTTCTAGGTAGTTCATTCCCACAGTTCCCTCTCTTTCAGTGTTCATGAAGCCAAACCCTTGCCCTGCACCATGCTGCAACTCCGTGCGATCCATGTGTGTTTAGCACAACGATTCAGTTCTCCCATCCCCAAGTGCTGACCTCCCTCTCTCTTCTCAGGGTCTTAGTCCTGGGTGGAGCAGTGCCTCTCCCTTCCTCCAGTGGCTGCAGTTCTTTGCCTTCTGTATCCTGTTTGCTACTGGCTTCCAGAATGGCCATGGTGGAGTTGGGGATGTGGGCTTGCTAGGATAAGAAGAATGACTCTGCGTCAAGCAAACCAGCAGAACATAAGACAGCAAATGAATGTTACCTACTCACCAGAGAGAGACTCCAAAAAACAAATACCATATTATTCTGGATTCAGCTTTTAAACTAACATTTCAATATAGAACCACTTACCATTCTGATCCAGTTTTATCCCAGTAACTGCACTTGAAAATACACTTTCGTAGCCACCCAGGCAAATGCCCTCACAGGCACACTGGGATATGCTGTATTCTACATTTTTATTCGGTTTTCATAATCCACGTGCTACATCTGGGGCCCCTACCTGATGTGGGGTGAAGGAGCGGACATGGGCAAGCAGAGGCTCCCGCAACTCTGGGCACTTTTCAAAGACTGCACTGAGCTGCTGTGGAGGTAACTGAAGGATGACTTGGAAGGACTGGGGCTTGGTGCGCTGGCAACATTTGATGAAGCCCTCCCAGACCTTGGGGTACTTCCACACCTGGGGAAGAAGCAGAATTCAAACATGACTGAGTCTTGCTCTTCTGGAAAGGAATGGTCTTGCCATATCAGCTTAAAGTCCAGCTTTTTAAAGACCCAAGACTCTGTTCCCCACATCCTACTCACCTGCTTCAAGATGAGGCGTGAAAGGATGTTCATGACAAAGCCACCCAGGCGTGGGTACATGGTCAGTGACTGGATAACTGTCCGCATGAGGAGCATAGGTAGTGGATTCTGTTCCATGAGCTGCTGCATCACCACAGCCAGCACCTCGGAGGTATATACATTATGCTCAGCAAAGCAAAGGTTGGTCGCTGCATGCAGGAAAATCAACAAGATGAGAAAATGCTCCAAGCTAAGAAAAATAGCAAAAGAATGCAAAATAGGGCTACAAATATGACAAATTGTCAGTCTCTATACGTGCAGAGGAGGAGGAAGATTCTTTGCATGATTGCCTCCAAGAAACAGGACCCAGAACTGGGATGTAAAATAAACTTTATATTATTTGAGTACCACTTCCAAAATCTGATTAGCAGCCTATTCAGTTGTAATAACTTTCTCCATGGTTGGATGCACGGCAAGACAGGCGACACATTTGTGTTCCTCCTTGAGGCAGCACCAACGAAAAATATAGAGCAACAATACTATGAGAATTCCAAGGGTCGCTCAACTCCACTCTACAGGATATAATTGTGGCCTCAGAGCCTTCATTCCAATCCATCTTCAGGTAAGTTGGGACACTTCAGCCAATATGGCCTTTGGAATTCTTGGAGGTGTAGTACCCACCCATCTGGAAGGTGCCACTTTAAGGGAAAGCTTGCCCCAAAGTTTCAGAGAGCTGCCTGCCATGTACCCATCCATGATGAGTTCAACTAGTTGAAGGTAGACAGATGCAGAGTGGCAGCCAACCTTTGATGATGGACTTCATATCACACTTGGTGGAATCAATGTTGTGGAGGGCAATCAACAACTCCCCAGGATTCAGAGGGGAAACTGCAGAATTTCCTTCACCTGTTGAAATTGCAGCAGGAGAAATTAGTCAATGTGGGTCCCTAGAACCCCAGGGAGCAGCCCCTGACCAAACAGAATAAAGCTGTTTGGATCATTTGTTCAGTTGACAGCTCTGTTGAGTCTTCTCCCCGCTTCCTTTCCTGACCTTGACATTCCTTGTTACACGGGCAACAGAAACTCAAGATCAGCTGCTTGCAGTTGGGACTGATTCCTACCATGTTGTGTTCCTAGGAGCCGGTTAAAAACCTCCTTCACAACGATGGGATTCAGCTTGATGAGTTTTGGCAAAGCTTGGATCACCTCTTTCTAGAAAGAGACGGGGAGTTTAACCAATTGGCACTTGGTCCCATGCCCAGAGAAAGAGACTCATTTCAAATATTCTGTAAAACCCAGGACGGTGCCTTTTTGAGGGCCCCCTTTTTCTCTTCTTTTGTCAGTCTTCAGCTTGCCCTGGCTTCTCTGCAATATGCAGATAGGACAGAGAGGTACAAGTCATCCAGGCCACGGAGCCCAATCCCCTTCCCAGTGCAGGAATTCAAATTAAAGTTTCCTCAATAGATTGTTCTCCAGCTTCTGTCTTGAGTACAACCCTGCTTTTGCAAGATGGCCTTCTGGATCAGGCCAGCATTCTATTCTCACCGTGGTGAACAGAGGCCTCTGAGAAGCCTACAATCATGGACAATACCCTTGGTCAACAACTGATCTTTGAAGGCAAGCTGCCTCAGATAATTCAGCCTCTTTCCTAAGGATCTCTTTGGAATTTGCCTTCTTTCTACACACTGGTTTAACTTTTCCCCTCAACTTCCCAAGATCCCTCTTCATCAAACCAGGCATCTAACTCATTACCAATGGCCGCCTTTCCTGCTTGGCCGATCTTCCAAGTGCTGCAGAAAATGCCAACAGGAACAGATCAAGAGTAAAGCGACTGCCAGATAA